TGTAGTCTCCTGTTTCCTTCCCACAGAGTGATACTCATCTAACAGCCTCCAAAGGAAGATGGGCGAGTGACCCTGTTAGCAGTGAGTGATCCCGTGGCACGTTGGAGTGTAGCTTCAAATAAATCGTGACGTGAATTTTGTTTTATTAACTGCTAATTCTTTTGAGCAAAGAATTTATCCCACTGTGCTTCATTGAAACCAGCCGTAAACAGGGATAACTAAGTCATTGACATTCTAATAACAGGAACGGTGTGGTACTTTGAGTCCATGTGCTTTCCGACTGCAGTTCACCTTGACTCACCTTATAGCTAACTAAAAATTAGATAAATAGAATGTAAATTTAAAAAAATTTGCAACCATGCAGAATTTATATTTGCAATTTAGCCTCACCACTTTCTTTATTATATCACATCATGTACATGTAAAACAGCTAGCCTGCTCCGGCAAAGAATTTCAGAACCGATCTAAGTTGATGTACGTTTACTCAATTCAAGGAGAAGAAAAGTGTTACCACAGAAAACGTAGCATAATATTAGGTATACTGATTAGCATCTTGATCTAATTGTCACTTGTGTGCCATTTGTGTGTGAACAAAGAGTTCTCCTGAATGTAGCCGTCAGTTAAGCCGCTCCATGAGCTTGCTAATAAAGCTGGTATACAAATTCCCCTGCGTGACGTATTTGCAAGAGAGAATGTACGCTTCAGTTGTCACCTCATGAAGTCTACTTCCCACCCACGCCACCCATTTCAAAAGACAACAACATTTGCTCTATAGTCTTTCCGCTTCAAATGACCCCTCCACTGATTGGCGTTTCCAGTCTGATCTGATAAGCTGTGACTCAGGTGATCATTTTTATGCTAACCATAATATGTTGACCAAAGCATTTCACAGGACGATCAATCACGACACAGATCGTGACGTGACTTGCACGGACTCTTCACAGGTCGTTGTAAGTTCAGTATTCAATTTGGGCATTGACAAATAGAGGCGCGACCGAAGCATGTACTTAACTAAACGTAAGTTAATCCTAAACATAGGAATTATCTTATGCTATAAGTGTATTGGTACACTTCGACTCTCACCCATCCGGTGTGGCTGATAAATTTTTGCATGTCTCAAATGACGCGATGATGTGTCCCTCTGTTGTAATAATAACAGATTAATCCTAACAGATTAATTCATTTCAGATAATGAAGACGAAAACGGAAACGATAAAACAAAATATTTAAAACACTTTCAGACGAATGAGTACATTTTGAGCGGCATTATTACGGTTTTCAATATCCATTAAGAACAAAGGGTGCTGTTTCTTCTGTTTGCTATTTTAATCATCTAGCTCTCTCCAGATCTTCTTTTCGTATTGCTCGTAAGTCGTAATTTTTCGTTGAGGCAGTAAATATCATCATTAAAAAAATTTTTTTGTTATCAGGGATAAATACGGATAATGCCACCAATTTATCCCTGTGGGTTTGTAGTCAATTTGTCATTATCCTGTATAGATTCCCATTAAAAGTATTAAAAACAGTGACGGTCATCGCGGTTTCGTTTTAGGGTTCGTATCACATTTTCATGGTTTATGCAGCAATTCATTAGCATCTTAGCGATTAGTTGCGATTATGTACTTGGGTAAAGATATGCTGCATTGCGCAGAGCCTAGAAAGTATCACAAAACAGACCTACAGTGAAGTATGGTGCTGTGGTTGATCAAGCACGTAGGCAGTGTTCTGTGAAAAATGCGCCCTACGATTTCATCCAGGAATTAATTCTCACGCTACCCTCCAAATCTGAGTTCTTGATCTCTAAAATCTATAAAATTTTGATCATGGGTTGCATCTGAGAGCAAAAGTTACCTCGAAGGTGCCAGAATGTGTAAAACAAAAAATCGCCTGATTCATACGATTTCTCTAGCTTTTGACGCAGCTTACTTTGTGTCAGGCGATTACCCCACTCATGCAGTGAGATGGCAATAACACAATAGCAAGTGGTCGTCTGTGAACGGCGATTTCGTGTTTGAATTTTGAAATCAGTAGAATTCTCTTAGTGGTATTATTAACTAAAACTTTCATCTCAGTGGGCATTACCGAGAAATGGGTAGCAGATCGTTTAAATGCGAACAATATGTACAACGTGATGTTGCTTTGTTGTTATAGTAAAACCTAAAAGAAACATAGTTTCTGTTTTGAGCTTCTCTTCGATCTATAGTTGCCCTTCACCCACTTCATAGCTATATATCTAGCACGATAATCGGCTTACGGTACAAAACATGTACTTGTTGTAGGCACCTTTGCAATTTGTCTGCATTTGCGCCAAAGGCGTAGCGAATTTAAGTCACTTGAAAATCAACAAAGCCGCATGCATTCAATTTGTGCGAAACAAAAAACGGTCTCGCGCGAAACATTTATTTTCGGTAAGGGCCGCTAGGAAGAATGTCAGTTTTTGATGAAAGAATCCGGTTTTGAAGTTTCAGCCAATTACTGACACTAATACGATAATTACAACTTCAGAACAATCAGTAAAAATGATGCTTCTAGAACCGATCATATGCCACGAATGATTCGATTGGTAAATTATGGCCTACCGATTCATAGTTTCTGAAAGTAAACTGCGCAATGTTATTTGCCCCAGAGACAAATTTCCAGAAGACCCTTAATGTATGATGTTCACCAATCGATCTTTTGTGTTTGCAGAGTCGCAAAATGAGGTTTCATAATCTTTCTTCGACGATTGATGGAGTAGTGAACCATTCCGGAAACCAGAATGCCTTGTGCACAGTACTGCTTTAAAACGCAAATACAGCTCTCTCAGCCTCTGTCGCAAAGCAGTTGATATCGCATGGCAAAACGCATCACAGGATTTACGCCAACCCTTCTTGAAAGTCAGAAAATGATCTGTCATATTACTTTCAGAGGATATGTTTCGCACCACATTTCCCAGTCATATGCAATAGCTATGACATATAAGCTCGCACCCTTCGTTCAAAGACCATTGATGAAAATTTTTTCGTCTTCCGTTTAAAAGGGTGCTGCCTACCTTGGATTTCAACGACGTTAACTTTAAAGGCATTATAAAGCAAATATTCTGACTAACTAGTGCCAGTTCTGTAGCGGTTCCTAATTTGTTGATTCATTCAGAAAGGTAGTAAACTGTGTTAGTTTCTTCATGTAGAGAACAATCAAATCCACAGTTACGCTAGAAACATAACAAAAAAATGACAAAGCTTTCTTCATAGTTAGCACATACTGCCGTCCCGTCTTCCGTTCACTTTCTGGAGGGAATACGTTTTCCTTAACAGACTCGATTTTTTTATGTAAGAATAAAGTTTGCGAATCATTGGTTACAATGGCTCGTTAGCATATTATAGTGGAATAGGTGACAGATTTTCACGATTAAGGGAAACAAAACAAAGAGTACTTTCACGGTAATCCACCTATCTTAGATAAGATCGTGCTCTGCGGAATTGTGCTTTATCATGTGATCTTTTCCTTGGGCTGTTCCAGTTTCTTAAGCACTAAAGTGGGATTTTTGGAGAATGAATGGTCGAGTTCTCTATGATACACCTAAATATACCTTTATATTCAAACTAATCCTCTCTATCCTCTGTAAGAAACTCTTTCGGACTATATTTCGATGCCTCAGTCAACAACGTGTACATCTGTCTGCATCTCTGCAACAACTGAAGCATAGAGAAAATGTTTAATGCCTTAGATGTGTTGGGCTGTACAAAATTAGGATCGGGAAAAACTGTCTGTGCATGAATAGATCCTATCCTGCTCGCATGTAACTTTTGATTTCATTCATTAATATAATAATTTTTACATATTAAATGCTTTTTCTCCATCTGCTGACTGTCTTTTGCTATCCTGATGTTTGTTTGTTGTTAAATTTACATATTCGACAATGCGAATGCTGAAATGATATTCAGTGATAGTTTTACAGGCTACTCCCTTTAAGCTAAATAGTAAACTTCTT